TATCAAAATAATTTAAACACTTGTAACCCCTTCTTGCCGTTGAAGCACCGGAAATGAAATAATTAACGCTGTTTTTGATATGCTAGATGCAAGTAAACAATCTCTTTTTTTTATTTTCATTTTGTATAAAAAAATGTTTAATAAAGCTTAATTGCATTTGACTTAATTATTTTATCATTATTTTTTAAAGATACTAACATATCTATCTACGAGCTTTGGCCTTTAAGAAGTAATACTGGTCGTCAGTTCATTAGTATTGAAGTTGTAGGAAGAGCTCATATTGACAATCTTTGACTGAATTAGTTGACTAGTTGACTAGTTGACTCATGTTTAAGTAGAACAGCATTGAATTTTTAACGCCGGTCCTTGTAGATTAGTCTTAGCTTATTCCGCACACAAAGTAACAAGCTTCATTTTGCCTCTCGTGGCCCTAGATAACTCGAACACTCTCTTCTCCATGTTGCAATGAGTGTTTCATATTAGCGAATCAAGTCAAGCCGCGCTTATTCTCTACTCGCCCCATGTAAGGGAATCCAAAACAGTCTTGGACTCTGGCTTCCACACCCTGGATTCCGGATTCCAGGTACTGGATTCCAGTCTTTGTCTGTAGAAGTTGGATTCTGGATTCCAATCGTTAGTGGGATTCCGGATTCATTAAGCTGTTTTCCGGATTCCAAAACCCAGAATTCCGGATTCCTTGAGTTGTATTCCGGATTCCAAAACCCCGGATGGCGGATTCCACATTTCACAAGCAAAAATTTCCTGGATTTCGAATCCGGATTTTCTTACTAGGGGAGACTCTACGATTTTCTTAGCTTCGTCAGACTTAATCCAGCCATAAAACTTTTGACTTTTGATGAGCGGTTTTGGGCTTTTTGGCAGTACCCGTGCTCGAACTTGCGTAATATCAGCGCTCGACCATTACCCCCATAACAGTTTTGATGACGGGTTTCAGTTTAATCGTTCGTCTCGCGATAGTCACTTTGCTATTGACCGAGACATTTCAACCACTTACTGCTGGTTATCTAGCAATGGTGTCGATCGCGATTTACTGTGCGGAACTGTTAGTAAACGTAGCACCGTGGGTGCCTCAGTCTTTCGTCTGCGGTAAGTATAGAACTTATCGACTCATGGCAAGAAAACCGAATTTTAGTGTTTCAACCCCCCCCCGTCCCTGGCGGCATCGACTCGGCGCTACCCCTTTTTCAAACCAATCCCTTTTGACCTCTGGTACGAGACAAACACAAACGGTCCTGGTTAATTTGTTAGTGTTTATAAAGTATATTGCGCACGCATGAACAATCTATGTTGAGATTTCCTTTGTTTTTTACCCGGCCTACAGTCCACTTCTAGTTAGAACACTGAACTTAGGGTATACCGTAGATGTTTGTTAGTGTAGTACAAAGAGAGAGTACATAAAATGTTCAAGGTTACTACAATATACTGCGGCCTGGGGAAACCGGTATAAATGAAGTGTGAAATTCCCAGTTTTTTGCACAGATTCGGTCAGTGAAAGCAAGAGTTACAGAGGACACCAAACAGGGGCACCCAACGAGAATATAGTTCAAAACCACTTAAACATAGCATTGTCAAACGTATTTTAGTATTTAAACGGAACATATAAGTATATTTTTATCCCCTAAAAATTTTTCATCTGTTCGGATTTCCTAGCTGAAAGTCTAGTGATCCGAAAATTATAGGGATCAAAACTTAACTTTTCGAAAATTCCAGCCAGAGAAAAGGCTCCCGAAAATTCTAGGTGACCTTTTAAGGGTAAAAATCCGTTAAAAATAGACAATTATACCATTTTTTAGATGTTCGAAAATCCTCGGAGAGGCAAGCAACCAAGAAATTTTCTAACAAATGTTCCGAAAATTCTAGATCTCAAATCGTCTTCCGAACAGATATTTTCCGAAAATTGTCGTCGGGTGCCCCTGACCCAAAAGAAAGCTCGGTAAGTTAGAGTGCATAAGTTAATTTTATTCAATCAGCTTTTGAAAGAAATGGTGAATTCAGTTCGAAGTGGGAAATTAATATACAAATTAATTTATTAAATTGTCAGTACGACCCATCACCTAATATTACTAGTAACAGTACTTAGGGAAATCTATGGATTCCGCAATAGGGCCGTTTATACGAGAGAAAATAAACCACGGCTTACTCTGGCTGCGGCTTACACAAGACGCGAAAGGAACCATTTATACGAGTACGGCTTACATAAGACGCGAACTGCTCGTATAAATAGTTAACGGCTTAGTTCGCGCAAGACCGGTCCAATGATGACAAATTTTGTTTTGGTGCCCCCCCGCAATTTTCAACAATGAATCGAGCCAGCAAAAAGCGAAACGATTGGCTTTGGTCAGGAAAATTGCCATATTTTACACTGTCTTTTTCGTTTCAAATTAACATTTCGGTCAAGATTCGTGCTGAGCTGTTGCAAAACTTGTGCGGAAACCTCGACCAAAGGTTCGTCAGCGATCAATCGAGTGGTTTGAAAGAGAATTTTCAGCGATGGATGAAATGGAGTTTAGACGAAATTTACGGCTCTCTCGTACAGCAGTTCATTTTCCCGCCACTGTAGCGCGCGTCTCTCGGCCGCGAAAGCCTTGGATATAATTGAAAAAAAAGCATGCGCAGCAGTCGTTCACGGCTTCAGCAAGCCGCAGACAACGTCGGGGTGCATTTATACGAACACTTTCACGTCGACGATAAGCCGCCGCTTGAGCTAGCCGTGGGCTGAATAAGCCATGAGATTTTGTACCATTTATACGGGGTGCTCGGGTCTTGTGTTAATCGCAGCCAGAGTAGGCCGCGGCTTATGTTCTCTCGTATAAACGGCCCTAATTTTGAATACTTTTTGTCCCCGTAATTTCGAGAGTCAGTCTCGTGCATCGCTACTGAAAACGACAGAGATAGGAACAATTTATATGTTCACTACTGTCACAGCCATCATTACTTAAACGCCTAGGTGGTGAGTGTAAACAAGAATAACCGTTGGTTACAGCGACTGAAGTTTCGGCCGCCTGTGTGGTTGTCATCATGACCGGAGACAAAATGGCTTGGGTAACAAAACATTGCGGCCCAATAGATTGAATTTCTAAACGCGCGAGTGGTATTCTGCCTTCGGCACACCACAAACTGTTGGAACCAATCAATCCAACAAAGTATTTCATGTTGATAAACGCTTCTGACTGACCTAGCTCACTAAGAGTTTTCAGTTATGTTGTTTTGGAAGAAACTGACGGGTTTTGAGTTGCGCATGATGAAGACTGAGAAACTGGGCGCTTCAGTGCTCGCGGAAATAAGATGAAAGTCCAAGCAAAGGACACTAGTCAAACTGACCTCTAGTCAGAATGAAAATGTGTTTTATCCTCAGCTATTGTTTTTCATATACTATTAGCAAAATTAGCCGGCATGCAAGTGTCAGTTTTTAGAAGGCGGCCACGTTTACCAAGTTTTCCGATAACGTCACACGATTTTCCCCAAAATTACGTCAAATACTTTCATACAACTAACATCGGTCAAATGGCAGGAGAAACTCAGTAAAAAGAGCCCTTCTCCTTTGTGCATGTTGTGGTTCAATTTCATACTTGGTTTAAATTTTATTTTCTTTTGTTTTTGGGTATGGTAATGTATGATAATGATTTTGAAACAAAAGAAAATAAAAATTAAACCAAGGATAAATTTGAACCACAACATATACAACCCTTTCACTCAGTCTAAAGTAGAGTACCTTTACTAATAGCGGCGGTTGACTGGTATTAAAGCGTAATTTTTCAATGATTCAGTGATCGATTTAGATTACAACCATCAGTGCTCTGTTTTTGCCGCCAGTTAGAATATCGTTCAAATATCCAAACCTCAGGATCTTTCCAGTTTTGTATTTTTGGTCAACCTAAGCGTGTCATTCGTGCGTCACTGGTACAACGCATCTATTGTTACTCGTCAGTTTTAAGAATATCAGTAGTCGTTATCAGAAAAGGGAAAAAATATATATCAGCCTTTATATCACGAAAAGTTTGTTCGAGATTAAATTGTTTTAATAAAGAAGTTATTAAAGTTAGAATGTGTGGAATCTAGCCGTCGGGCATGCTACTTATTGATTCTTTGAAGACATCTCCATGTTAGAGTTTAAAATCAGTTCACCTGTATGATGTGACTTTTTATCTAAACCGGTATGAAGACCTCTCTTTGTCCCGATCATATTTACCCTTAAATAGACAGTTTTGAGGGTGAAGATCATCAGTTAAGTATGTTCGCCTCACTGTAACCAAAAGAAGTTGCCGTATCGGTGGTGGCACTGACGTGCCCCTAGGACGTAGATACCTGAAACGTCTGAGGAATTATGAAACGGGACTTCCTATGACGCTTAGGACTGAGAAAGCTTTGATTAATCATATGACTCAGTTAGAAACAACTCATTGAAAGGACACAAATTAGCAGGAATATATAATGTCTACATAGTCATATTCGTAAGTTTCAAATATAACATATACTATCATTTGAAGCCAAAAACTTCATCCCCAGACGCCAGGTAAAGCAGCACGTCTTTTAAAATGACTCAATTGCTTAAACGGAGGAGTCTTGTCGTCTTTTTTAGTGTTTCACACTTTTTTAAACACGATTTCCTGAAGGAAACAAGCAGTATTCGACTTTGTTGACGATGAAATGTTTTTTGAAAAATCAGTGGTCAATATTTTCTTAAAACCACAATTTATATGCATACAGAATGCTTTTTGAGGTTTCCGACCGGGGCGGGCAGAAACAATAAAGGAATTTTGACCAATTTTTTTCCGTTCCAGTTGATTTAGTCATATATAGATCGGTATGACAAGCAGTTTAATAGGACCTTTAATTCATCGCCGAAAAACTGACAGTTTATAATAAATCACTTAGTTTGTATGGCTCATGGATCATCTTTAGGGCAAAGCAGAAATACTTGGCCCATATAAGGTCTTTTAAAATGAAACTTCATTGAACTAAATGTTGAAGTTTCATTT